ATGTGCCCGTGGATCGGGGCGGGGTGGGGCAGGGCGGGGTGGGTGGTGAAGTGGGCCTATAGGGGGGGCTGCAGCCACCTGAAAACTTGCTGTAGCCCCCGCCCGGAGCACCACACTACAAACTGGAACAAGGTAGGAAGGTGTGTATATTTAATTGTGATATGATGGCTTTATCTATTCATGTCGCTGCAGTCTGTGGTTTCACAGCTGCTTAAGTGCGTGAAAGTAACTTACTTCTGATGTACAGAATAAGTGAGTCCAAAGGAATGAGATGTGAGCGATAATGAAAGTCATAAGGAAAATCTTATGACTAGTGATCTACCAAAATCATGATTGTGCCATTTTTGTGGAAATGGCAATTTTAGGTGGGCTCCATGAAAAAGCAAAACCTCCACAAAAAAAAGTGGAGCCCACACTTTTGGTGGGCTCATTGCAAAAAAAAACCCCAACCCCCCACCCTTCCAAAAAAACCCAAACAAACAACAAACAAACCACCCAACCAAAACCAAATGAACTTACTGGCAAGGAGAAAACCATGCAAGGCCTTGCAGTCTTGCAGTGTGGGAGGGAGGGAAGAGGGTGGAGGGGGAGAGGGAATGGGGTGGAGCAGGACTGTTTCTAAAGGGGGTGGGGTTATGCAAATAAAGGAATGAAGGAGGGAGGCAGAGCGATTCCCAAAGGGATAGGAGAGGGAGGTGAAATATGGGTAGGGTTATACAGATCAGGGCTGTGGAAGAGAAGCAGGGTTATACAAAATAACAGGAAATGGGATGGAGGCAGGTGAAGGGTGGAGGCAGCTCCACCCCTCCCCATTCTATTCCTTGTCACTTTTTGCATAACCCCACCACCATTCCCACCCTCCCACTCCTTTCCCTGCCCCTCATTCAATCATTTGCATAACGCTGCCCATTTTCCATCCCCCGCCTTTGGGAATCATTCCACCTCCCTCCCTCTGTTCCTCCCTCATTCTTTTATTTGCAGAACCCTACCCCCTGTAGACAGACCTTCCCCTCCCTTTTTGCCTTCCCTCCCGTGCTCCAAGACTGCAAGGCTTCCCACATGCTTTTCTTCTTGCCAGTACATGTCTTTATTTATTTATTTATTGCAGAGATCCCATGGGTGGCCTGAAACCATGGCTTAATTACTGTGATTTAAGCCCAAGGAAGCCATTAATCCATGCTCAGTAACACATAGATCAGTAGCTTCTCCGGGCTTAATCAAGCTGTAGTTTCAGGCTGTGTGGTGATCTGTGGGGTGGAGTGGGACTGCTGGGGCCCCTTGGCCAATTGGAGGTGTGTGGAAGGCCCACTGTGTTCAGCTGATGAATATGACAGGCGCCCCACAACCTGCCTGTGAAATTGGTTGGTTGCCTCCTCGAGCTTGATAGACCCCTCCTTATGATGTTTTTTTATGCAGCATGTAAATTTGATATTAATGTAACTTTGCTATTCTAAATTCATTTAATGTTGTAGTGAGAAATGAGATGGGGATAGCCTGCCATAGTTGTGCCTAGATAATCAATTTGGGAACATATTTTCATATTTAGGGTGGAATTAATGCTGCTTTGGGAAACATGGAAGAAGACAACTGGAGATGGCACTTCTATGACACTGTAAAAGGATCTGACTGGCTGGGCGATCAGGATGCCATTCACTACATGACAGAACAAGCACCTGCTGCAGTTATAGAGGTAAAACTAGCCTTTGAAATCTGTTGGAATTATAATTACCTTTAACACCAATATTCTTCTGTAGTGAAGTTTTAATGAGGTAAATTTTAATGAAGGAAATTCCTTCCTTTGTTTCTTTTCTGATGATACTTTTAATAATGTTACAAAGTAATATTAGGCTGGTTAAGTTGCTTAATCTTATCCACAGCTCTGTCTTTGATATATTTGGGGTTTTTTTTTTGGTATCAACAGCTAGAAAACTATGGAATGCCATTTAGCAGAACGGAAGAAGGAAAGATCTATCAACGTGCCTTTGGTGGGCAGAGCCTTCAATTTGGGAAAGGGGGACAGGCTCATCGCTGCTGTTGTGTTGCAGACAGAACAGGACACTCACTGTTGCATACACTGTATGGCAGGGTAAGAAGTGATATGGTAAATGAAACTGAAGGTTCTAGGGGTTTTAACAAATAAATACTGTCCAAGTTTTAAAAAAAATAAGAATTTTTAACTCTGGCATTTATAGGTATTACTTAAATAAGCATCAGCAAGGATTCCAGGCAACTTTCTAATCTTAATTCTCAACTTCCCTCTCTCCCTGTGACAGTGCAGAGCTCTGTGCCATTGTAGGCACTAGGGATATAAAAGGTTAAATGGTAAACATATTTATACTGGTAATGCATTAGTTAGTGTTTAGCATGGGACACAGTCTGGCTGGGAAGGGAAGTGGTGTAGTGCCTCAGGAAGGCAGTTAAGCAGGCAGTGTGGTTACCCTGTTTGCCTGTAAGCACCATGATGCTCTGCCTCTGCCTCCCTTTCCCTGCACAGTGCTGCTGACTTGGGAAAGAGGAGGAAAGGAGGGAGGGCTGGTACCCATTAGGTATGTGTTATCAGTTAAGTGTTTAACCAGTATTATTAGAGGAGTTTACATGAGTAATTACTTAATGTAGATTTACATCAAGCAGGTGCCTACTAGAGATATCAGCATTGCAAAAAAAATAGGAGATAGGAGCAAGAACTTTGTTTTTCATACTTTTCTGGAGACCATGGGTAGCAAGCTGTTCATTTTGTGGCAGGGAGGAAAGTCTTTCTCCTGTTGCTGTCCTCCCTTCTAGGACACTCACGTTGGCCAGTCCCAGGAAAGGTGTTCACATACACCTTTTCATGGGCTTGGGAGAAGCTGGGTTAAAAACACATAAGGTTACCCCAACAGGAAAGTAGTGGCTAGCATCAACCATCTACCCTCACAAAAGAAGCGAGGGTAATTGGTGCATTTCTCCAACATGAAGGGCTGTTGTTCTGTCTAAGCTTGTTTCATTATGACTGACTTAAGCACTAATAATTGATCCTAAACATCTTCCAAGGCAAGGTCAGGAAAGGACAAAGATTAAATATTATTAAGATATGAGAAAATGATGACCCTTGGATCTAATTTAATTAAGCACTTGGCAATGTTACCTCATGTATTATTTTGGAGCTTGGCTAATTGCGTGTCTTCTGAATGTTGCCTCTATGTGCTAACACAGGGCCGTCCCAATTTTTAGCTCCTGTGGGTCACATGCCCCAGAGGCCACACTAATGGGGGCTGTATGGACTATATCAGGTGCACTGCATGGAAGCTCTCACCACTCCATCATGTTCAGTTGCATGCAGTTGTCCTCCCCACCCTTCCCCATAGCAGTGCTTCATGGGTGCACAAGAAGAGATCTTCCCTCAGTATTCACCCCTGTTGTAATGCAAGCCCCCCCAGACTCGCCCTTGGCTCTATGCACTGCCCAGCCCTGAGGTAAAGGCAGAAAGTGGCAGCTAGAGGAGGCAGCCTCCGGCTGCTATAGCAGTGGGAACGATTGGGTGAGGGGTGAGGTGGGGAGCAGCAGCTGGGTGAGAGCCAGAGGAATACAGTTTAACCTTTAGCAGGATGCATGTGGTTTGAGTGCTGCCAGTTGGATAGTTCAGTGCTAACATAATGTAAATGTGGGTTGGAAAGGGTTAGGGAACCCTTATTTCAATGCCGCTAAATGTCTGGTCCTTGCAAACTTGAAAGAGACTCTCCTGGGCCATGTACCCAGCTGATGGTATTCATTGGCTTTATAAATACTCTAGGTTTTGAAGTCCTAGTATGAATGAGCTTCTACTAGTGCAGCTGAGTAGTAAATACATATACTACACTAAAAACCAGAATAACTCTTCGTCTTTTAGCTGATGGTTATCTTGGGTGTAATTTTTCTTTTTGAGATGGTATGCTTTTTTAAAAGTTTGGTAAGTGTGGGCTTTCCAATCCAGAATGATACAAGTTCTAGAATCAGTCTTGTGGAAGAGTAACAGGCTATTTGCATACTGGCTTATTTGGAGATTCTTGTCAATAAGGTCTGAGACTGTTACAAATGTGTGTTTCTCTACTGCTGAATATTTAGCGTATTTGGTATTGTTATCCTTTTCTTTCTTTGTAGTATAACAAATATGTGAGTTCTTTTGAACTGAATATTAAGAGCCCTTTGAGTTTGCTTGTATGATATTTCTAGTGGTGGTTTATGCTGGTTTTAGATTTTGTTATGTTTTATGTATTTTGCTATATTTCTAATAAAAATGATTTTATTTTGATGTAAATCTGTTAGGCTTTAAAGAAAAATGTTTATGTTGCTGTTTTCTGTTCCTTTTTCAGTCCCTAAGATATGATACCAGCTATTTTGTGGAGTATTTTGCCTTGGACCTTCTTATGGAAGATGGAGAATGCTGTGGTGTTATTGCACTATGCATAGAAGATGGTTCCATACATCGTTTCAGAGCCAAGAACACTGTCATTGCCACTGGGTAATGTGATATAATGTTTCTTGCCTTTAGAAAAAAAAATAGTTTTATGGTAGCAGGAGAGAATTGGGTGTTCATTTAAAAAAAAAAAAAAAAAAAAAAAAAAGTGACCAGGCCTCCTGGCACACTAAGGAGGATACATGCCTACATACTTAATCTATAAAATGGAAATAATAATATATCTAGGTAAATCAAGTTACTCTGAATTGAAAATAACATAAATGCAAATTTTGAACTGTTCCTTTTAGATTCAGATTGATGAATGCAGAATACTGCAGCTTCAATTGCTAAGGCTAAGTATTGTCTAGCCTTAAGTTACAAAGTGGTACTATAAAAACTAAAGTTAAGGAACTAAGGATAAGGAACTGTGAAGCCAATGATAATATATGTATGCTACAATCTACTCTCTAAGGCTTCATGTAAAAGCAGAGACAGACTGGAAGTGTGGTGAGACCATGTTCCTGTAGGACCCTTTGCATTGTGATGTACTGTTTCTTCTGGGAAACTAAGGTTATTTTTGTGTTGCTGATGAAATATAGCTGCTAACCAGCACATCACAGTATATTAAGACTGTCCTAATGGTGGTAAAGTAACACCTTTGTTAGGATGCTCAACCCCCAGCCTGCAGGCTGGATCCAGTCCCGGGTGCCTTGTCATCTGGCTCACAGGAGTCCCAAGAGATCTGTGGGGAGCTGTGTGGACCATGGCCCTGTGTGCTAGATACACCATGCAGGGCTGGTGCAAGGCTAGGCGGGGATGGTACAGGGCCCTGATCTTGGAACTTAGGGCCAAAAACTTGAGCCACCACTACTTTAAGATTTAACCTAGTGGATCAATACAAGACAAATTGCAGTAGCTCATATAATTTTGGTGCATCAGTTATGTGGGATTCTGTTTTGAGTGCATAGTTCCCTGTGTTCTGCCTATCTTTTCTATCTGCTGCTCATGGCTTTTTATCATTTTTTTGAAGAACTAAAGAAGATACAAAGAAGGGCAACAAGGATGATTAGTGGCATGGAGCAGCATCCATATGAGGCGAAACTAAAGAGACTTAAGCCTATTCGGTTTAGAAAAGAGATGCTTGAGGGGGGATGTGGTAAGGGTTCACGAAATACTAAAAGGTGAAGAGAAAGTAGTAAATAGGGGTTTATTATTTACTCTCTCACAGTACAAGAACTAAGGGTCATAAAATGAAACTAATAGGTAAGAAGTTTTAAAGTTAAAAATAAGTTTTTTTCACATTGTGCCTAATGAAAGTAGATGTTGTGGAAGCTGACAGTTTAGCCAGATTCAAAAAGAGGTTGGGCAAATTCTTGGAGGAAAGATGTATCAGTAGCTATTGAGCATGGGAGTTAGGGGTACAGGCTCTGAATAAGAACATCCTAGACCTTAAATGCTAGAGGCTGCAAGTGAGAGAGGAACAGTTCACTGTCCTTTTCAGTATCCATTTTCTGCCACTGTGACAAGATCCTGGGCAAGATGGACCTGCAGTCTGACCCAATAAGTGGCAATTCTTATGTTTTTGTTTTGGTTTCAGGCTGGTAGCCCTACCATAAATAGAACAAGGCTGAGCTTATATATTTTATGTTGATTGGCTGCATATTGAATTTGTCTTTGAAAATGTTAGTCATTGACTTTTTAACAGAGAAGGCCTTAATCTAAACACCCAATAAGTGGATTAATCTTCAGATACTGAGCACTGTTGCCTTCTGTTGAAGTTGGGATGAACTAGGAGCTTGATATTTTTTAGCTAAATATCTTGTTTTTTTTCACCATGTTCCAAGCTGCAGGAATTTCATTTTGCATGTACAACCCTGATTTCACATTTTTTCTCTTGTTTAGTAGTTTTAAGTCTGTTCTCGAAATTACTAATGGTACCAGTCACCAGGTGCATCTGCATATGTGCCTTACTGCAGTTGACTAATTAGTTCCACAGTAAAATGTCACCATCTATACATGCACTGGAATTAGGGAATTAGGGCACAGTAGATTAATTAACTCCACCATAAGACAGTACTGTTGGGGGACAGTACTATCTTATGGCAGAGTCATTTACTGTGCTGTAACGTGTGGATAGTGACCAGGATAGCGGCATTTTGAGCAAGGGTGGAGCAGCTTCAGTCTGGTAGCAGGCTCCAGGTTGGGTGTGGCCGGGGGGGGGCAGCCACATGGCTCTACAGTTTTGGCACACTCATGCCCCAGCCAGCCCCCTTGCCACCCAGAGCCTGGGGCTGATCCCCCCTGCTGCTCCACCCTGGCTCCAAAGTACTGCTGTCCCAGGCGCGTGTGTAGGTGCTGCACCTGGGAGCAGTGTACTCTGAAGGAAACTGCTTTGGAGTTTATTATGTTGCATTAACTATATGTGTAGATCCACCCACAGTATACTTATGAATAAGGGTCTGAAAATAACACACTGATAGCAGAGAGATCTTGTCTTCCTGTGATAACTGTACTTCCAGAAAAATAGTTCAGGGTCCTAAGTAAAATCACCTGAGTTAAATTAAATCAAAGTGAGGAAAAGCAGCATGTGATCCCTGTTAGTTACATTTTACTTCTTAGTGGCTCTACTGACCTTTTATAAAGTAACCCTAGTTAGCAGTTCTGAGGCAGTGTGGTCCCGTTTCCTTTTGGCATGCTGGCCTCGGTGGTTTTCCAGATATTAGTTGAGCATTCTGGATGGTCTACCAGTGTTGTTCACCATAAGTTAAAATAAGTTATTTTTCCCTTTCTGCACAAACTTAAATAGATATCTATGCATTGTGGCTGGTTGCATTTAGGAAAACTGTACATTTGCCCGAAGTGCAGGGATTACACTGCATATTCTAATGAGATTGTACTGTTTGTCTATTTCTTTCTTATGGGAAATATTTTTGGCAAACATTTTAATTTCTTAAATGTTTTCTAGTGGGTATGGTCGCACCTACTTCAGCTGCACATCTGCTCATACCAGCACAGGTGATGGCACAGCTATGGTCACACGAGCTGGCCTGCCTTGCCAGGATTTGGAATTTGTACAGTTTCACCCTACAGGTAAAATAGAAGATGAGAGAGGCAGTCCTTGGGGTTTTTTAATTTTTTTTTCAGTATTTGTAAACATCTCTAAAATATTAGACATTTCTGCCTTTCATGTTAAGATGTGTAGTGCCAGAAGGGTGAATTGAGCTTTTTGGACCTTGAGCCAAGTTCAGGCTGCAAGTTCCTT